TGAAGCACATTTCTAAGCCTATAAGTTTCTTACTAGATGAGCTAACGGGGTCAATCAATCGTCATTTTGTAGAGCGTTTTTTACTGCATCTTTTCTTCATAGAGACAAATTTACAATCACTTGTTTCACTATAGAAAAATTTATTATTCAAATCGAGTCAGGACTTCTGGCCCACCCTTTATTGGTTACTAGGATGCGGTTCTGCTTCGCGCCACATAAATAAACTGACTTTTATTAATTGAAACTGTCTGGGACTGTGAAAAAAAGAGCTAGAGAAAATATGAGATCAGGAGTCATTCCTAAAACTATGAACAGGAATAGTAAATAGAGTGTTCTTTTTACATATAAAAACAAAATCATGCATAAATAAAAGTTTAAACATTATTCACAACGATTTGAATTGTATGAAAAATACATTTTTTTCTTGCATCTTAAGAGAAATGTTGCGTATTTTCACTTAAAGCATTCCATACAATTTCTTTAAAAGAGATTCTGTAAATCCAACTGAAGTCCAGAATGGCAATTAAAATCTATTCATTTTATAGTCTATATTTTTCTTATTCCTTTGTTGTATGCCTTTAAGGTAATATAAAAATAAAAATAAAAATAAAATCTAATCTATCTTAGCTGCAAAAAAAATAAGTTTTAATGTTGTTGAAAATGAATTAAACAAAAAATTCTCACTCTCACCTTTCATGATGAAGAATTACGTATTGTTCTTTCGAGAAAATAAATTGTAGTCTGGATCATAATATATTAATCATCATTCATAAACTTACTTTTTCTTGCATTGATAATGTTACTCTCACTATACTTTCTAAATACAAGAATAAATAACTCGTGACTGATTCGCTAATAAATAATGAGTCACTTATTATCAGTTGTTTTTCCTATATTAGTCAATGTGTAAGCATTTTAAAATAGACTCAGCCAATAGAAAGTTTAATTTTCTACAAAACGATGAATATTTGAAACTATCCCTTTATGCCCGGCAACTAATCATACAAATCAAACTTGAAATATGTATATCTTTGTTTAGACTTGATAAAAACCTTTTGTTATTAGCAATCATTAGCTTATAGTATGTTAGATTACGCTGAAAAAAGAATCCGATTGAAAAAGTTTTGATTTAGCGTTGCGTTACTTTTTTCTAGCAGTTATGGTGATATCTTCTGGAAGGGACAATCGGGCATAAAGGACTATACTTTGTTTCCTTTTCGTTCTACACAAAATACTAAAACATACTTGATGTTAGTATTGTATCATAAAAGAAATATTCTGTAAAATTCACTTTTTTACTAGTTTAGGAAAAACGAGATACACGATGTTTATTCAACTTATACAATGAATTAGATAAGAAAATACGTATATCCAATTAAAAACCAAGAGTTATTCCAGTTTTATATAAAAACTTGAAACTTTAATCTTTTTGTCTTTAATGCTCGCTCGATGAAAAAAACATAATTTTTTCATCTCACCTGGACATAATAAACAATTATATTTCTATTTAAATAATAGAGTTATCAATTGTTTATTGTCTTTTGTATCTTTGTAATCTCAGCGAACTATTTCATGTAATGAATGATGTTTACCAAAAAAAGTATAGCTTATAATCATAACATTTATATAGGGTGATAAAATCTAATATATCATAAATATTTTAGTTAAGCTAAAATAAATTTTCTTTTAACAATTTTTCTAGATTAGCCAAAAAAATTGTTCACAAAAAATGGCCCATCCAAAATTAAGTGCCGTTGATTATGTTTTGCTTGTTGTTTTACTATTGTCATCAGCTGTTATTGGGATCTTGTTTGGATTTATAAAGACCAAAAAAAGTTCAGCCAAAGAATTTTTATTAGGTAGATAAAATGATTTTAATATTTTTTATTTTTGATCAAAATACTAATAGATTTTTATTTTTTTTTCTAAACAATTTTTTAGCGGGTGGTGGTATGGGTGTACGTATTTAACATAAATATTTCTTGTTGTATCTATTCTGTCAAATGAACTCTTTCTTTAAGGTTTTTCCAACTGCTCTAAGTATTTGTGTATCGTTTTTATCAGCAATAACGTTATTAGGTACACCATCTGAAGTTTACTTTTATGGAACAATGTACATTTATCAAGGTAGGAATAATAACTTACTTTCAAAAAAAACAAAAACAATTTATTTTAGAGAAATTATTGAAAATTTTTTATAGCCGTTTCATGGACAGTAGCCAGTTTTTTAACAGCAACGATTTTTATGCCTAAATTTCGTGAAATGAATTTCACTAGCACCTACGAAGTAATTCAAATGAACATTATAATTTCACAATTAATGATCTAATCTACATATTTTCTAGTATTTAGAAAAAAGATTCGATGGTTCTGTTAGACTAGCAGCATCAATAACATTTTCAGTATTTATGGTAAGCACTGGTTTGTTAACTAAATTATAAATTGAATTCTAGTAAACGAGTCTTTGATGTCACATATACACTGTGAATGAATGTATTAGAGTATAAAAGTTTTTTTATACACAGCTTGTCCAAACGTAACTTAGTGACATTTTTGACGTTCCTAGTATTTTCAAGTTTTCTAGAAAAATAGAAGTCTTAGAAAGTTCGTTCTTGCGTCATTCGATGCAGCTCATCAAATCCTACTCATTTTGAAAGAATGAAGTCGTTGGATCTGATTCTTGAGGAGCTAGAGAGATTCTACGGAGCGTAACGCAGTGACAGAAAAAGACCCCTAAATCGCAACCAATAATCATAAAACGGAGATTTTCTCGCTCATTACTGTAGCAACAAGAAACTTCCAAGAGAAGTTTTTATAGCTCTTTCAATTACTCTTTTCCTTGAGTTATAAAATGTTAAAGAAAACCGTAACGCAGTGACACTTTTCGTAACACAGTAACAGTTTTTTGTAGATCTTTTTTGGGGCACTTAGCACGTTCGAAGACTTTTCATATTAACAGGGCTTTGATTTTTCAATTGTTTAGTACGATCAATTCGAAAATCGGAAAAATCCAAAAATCAGCTGTTTCCCTCTTGATTTTATAACACTCATTTTTGCACACTTAATGTATGAACCTCTTATTGAGATTCAGAACAGGATCTTCAGAACAGGATCAAGTAACTGGAGAAAATATCAACCCATGAGAACTTTCAGAAAATGTTTTCTCTAATACAACTCTGTATAATGTGTTGAAATCTTCCCCTCTAGATGATACTAAGTACGATCAAATTAAGTTTTATTTCAGTTGATTTATGAGGAAATGTAGACAACTCAGTATATATTCATTTACGGATTAATATGCAAAGTAATAGAGATACTTGAGCTACTGTTTATATTTCCTATCAATAGTCTGTATAAACTTCTTGAAGTAAAATCATTCCGTCATCAAAGATACTTCTTTTGCGAAGGTATTGAATCGCTTAGGTTTGATTCTCAATGAATTATATAGACAAAATTTGTTGATTTTCCAGGTAAAATTTCGAGTTTTATGATAGGAACATGCAAACAAAAACATAAATGAAAAGAGACAAGGACATTTTCTATTAGACACATATTTTGCCATCTTAAAAGACATGTACACAAGTGTCCGTTTACGTGGGACGTTTCAAGCGTTTCGTTCTTCGTCAGATATCCTAGATATTCAATGATCTATTTTATATTTAGTTGATCTACATGGCAATTGTATTGTATGCTCCAGCATTAGCACTTAGTCAAAGTAACTTTGAAATAGTGTTCTAACAAACAACTATACGTAAGATATATTTAGCAACTGGATTGAATATTTGGTTGTCAGTTGTTTCCATTGGAGTTATTTGTACATTTTATTCATCTGTGGTGAGTTTTTAAAAAATAGAAGGCACTATAGAACAAAAAAGGATTTGAGCTGAATATTCTAGGGTGGTATGAAAGCCGTTATTTGGACCGATGTTATACAAGCACTAGTTATTCTTGTTGGTCTTTTAGCAGCGATAATTCAAGGTATAATCTTTCATAAAACAGGTTTTATCACAGTTTGTCATTTTTAATTCATTTAAAGGATTAATAAAACTTGGAGGATTCAAAAAAACATTTGACATTGCCTCGAAAGGTGGACGACTTGAATTTGACAGGTACGTTCATTATGGTCGTTACTTTAATTTAACTATTATCATGTAATTTTAGTATCAGTTTTGATCCTCGAGTTCGACACACGGTTTGGAGTTTACTTATCGGTGGTACATTTAATTCATTGACGACTTATGGTTTTAATCAAACTCAAGTTCAACGTTACATGTGTGTTCGTACAACAAGAGGTGCCAAACAAGCGTTAGCTATAAATGCTGTTGGTGCTATTTTAGTGATAGCAATGTCCTGTCTGATCGGAGTTATATTATACGCTTATTATTCAACATGTGACCCTTTAACTGCTGAATACATTGATGATACAGATCAAATATTTCCCTATTTCGTCATGGAAGTATTAAGCGATAAAAAAGGTTTACCAGGCGTATTTTTAGCTTGTATATTTTCGGGTTCTTTGTCAACCATCTCATCGGGTTTGAACAGTCTATCAGCTGTCATTATTGAGGATGTTTGGAAAGGATTATTTAAACGGAAATTAACGGATGAACGACAGGGTTTTGTATCCAAAATATTCTCTGTTGTACTGGGTGCTGTTGTTATGGTATTAACATTGATTGTATCATATTTGGGTGGAGTATTGAGCGCAGCGATATCTTTATTTGGTGTATTGTCCGGACCAATAATGGGTGTCTTCATCTTGGGATTCTTCTTTCCGATGGCTAATCGACGTGGCGGACTTATTGGATTTCTTGTGTGTCTCGCATTTCAACTGTGGCTCTTTCTGGGTGCTCAAATTTTTAAAGGACAAATAGCCCTTGGAAAATTAAGTCTATCGATAGCGACTTGTAATGATAGTATAAATTATACTGACACAACATTTTACAATCCGTCAATAACATCGTCTTTCACAACGGTATTTAATTCGACAACTCAACCATTTACTTCAAAGTAACTAATATACTCGCTGCTTTGAAAGAGATTTCTTTAAGCCCCTCCGTACTCGGGTCAGAAACCTATCTCAGCTCAGGTGGGTCTGATCTGAACCAAACTTTCAGGGAATGTTGACCATGTTAAGGTGTGGTAATGAAATTTTTTTTCTGGTGTCACTAGCAATTGTTCGTGGGGGGAGAGGGGAACAAGGGTCAAAAATAGGCGTCTACCATACACAAGAATTCTCATTCCATATAAATGACAGAGAGCTCAGGCTGTTTTTATTTTGCAGTAAACACCTGTGCCTACGAGTTAACAAAGCCAGATTTTTGAATTTCTCATTTGCTGATTTCTGGTGCTTAACAGAACTTTAAAGTCCGAAAAATGCTTAGAAATCCTCATTTCTATAAAAAAACAGAAGCATCATTTAAAAATCGGATTCCTTCAACTTCTAGCTATAGGTGTTATCTACAAATAAAACAAAATTTTCTTTCTCCGATGTATCGTTACCAAGAATTCCTGTGTGTGGCGAAAGCCCTGAAACTAAAAAACAGCCTTGAGAAAAATACAAAATAAGTTTGATTCTGTTAAATGCGTTTTGCTTAAAAACTGTTTGAGTGTTAAATAACTTGTTGATACTTTGCTACAGGTTATCGGTCATGACGGATCTAATGAACATGTGGGAAGGGGGATTTAATTTGAAAACGATTGAGTAAACAACAATTCCTGAGGGGAAAAAGACGAGATCGAATTTAATAAAAGTCGATCGTCGATTATGAGTGTTTGATGCGTCGTGCTGTATTTCGCAAAAAGTGACGAGGGTTTGGAATGGTACGGAAGTTTGTTATAGGGCGGTGTTTCGACACCGTCTTACTGTTTAGGGTGGAGTTGGAATACCCATTCTGAGATTTTTTCGCTCTCTTGGATTTGATCCATAGTATAAAATATAAGTAACGTGAACGGTGTCTGATCAAAGATTTTGTGATATTGTATATAAAAGTGTTACTGAATAAATTATAGTATTTATATATATTTTTTTTGTTTTAGAAAAAATCCATTATTACCGTTTTATTCAGTTAGTTACATGTGGTATTCTCCGATAGCTGTTATAATTACATGTACTATTGGTATCATTGTTAGTTATATAACGGGACCATTGAAACGAAATGAAATTGATCCTAAATTAATCATACCGATATTCGATAACCTATGCTGTTGTTTACCAAAAAATATTCGGAAAATATTACATTGTGGTGTCGACTACACTGAATACGACGCTAAAGTAAGAATGGATCTGTTTATTTTTTTTTGGTCACATAAATGTCAGTTACAGCAAAAAGGAACACTTTGATTGATCCAAAGATTCGTGAAGTGTTTTCAAAAGCATTGTAATGTTAAATGAGCTAAAGTAAAAAGTGAGCGTCAACTGAAAAGTTTAAAGATAAAGAATAATGAATGATCATTTAGGAATAAATCCTTGTTTTTACTCATATAATTTATTGTTATTTCGCGATGTTTCGGAGTACCACAGTACTCCTTATTCAGGCGAGAGGATGATATGACAGGAGAGAAAAAATATACGCATACTAAAAATTAATTATCATGTAGAGCGCGGCTGATAATTAAAAGAGAAAAAATGAAAGAAATCGAAATATTCTTTAAAATCCTTCGTTCATAATGTTTTTATACTCTCTTCGAGTCCCGTTACATAGTCTTGTT